TAAGCAATACTGCTAGTGTTTAAAATTAATGAAAATAAGATGCTGACAATGAGAAATTTTAAGAAGATGGCATACTATAGCTCGAGCTATATGTTTAGCGCTGTAAGTTTCTCTAGTTAAAAGTTATTGACATGACAATATTTTGATAATAATAACATATTATATCTTTATATAATATCCTCACTTCAATCCAACTACTTGAATGTCCAAATACCAAGGTGAGTCAAAAATGATGCTAAAAAGTCACTAAAACCTTTATTACATGCTTGATCTCGACATGCCCTCCAGCTAGGTCTATCTACTTCTGAAGGCAGTGTTTCCATCTCTAACCCTTCTCTGAAGAATTCTGTGCATTTTGATTTACTCATACCATATCAAAAGGGCAGTTTTGGTATCCTGGAGGGATTTGAATTATGTTCCTTAAAGTGTTCTTTTGGGGTTTAAGAAGAAAAAGAAGGGCAAGCTCAGGGCTGTAGGGTGGATGGAGGTAAAGTTTCCCAATGAAAATCCCATAAGATAGTTCTTGCTATCTTCGAAGAATAAGCAGGTACACAAGCCCGATGGAAAAACAAAAACTCAGAGCAACATTCATGGTCTTTTCCTAACCAATGCAAGTATCAGTGTGGTAGTAACTTCTTCATAACTCCCCAAGACTGTTCTGTGTCCTTGGCGAAAATCCTGCAAAATCTCACCCTTTGTTGTTGTTAGGGGCATCATGTTAGACACAACAGCACGAAACATTGCCTGATGCTGAACCATCCTTATCATTGTTCTCATGCTTGAGCCCATTGTTGCCCTCACTGTGTCAGCCCCCCTCACCGAGGTGCTTCATCTTTTTTGGTGCCACTCTGCCAAGTATCCATCTCCCCCTTGGCGCCCCCCAAAGCAAATGCCATTAGCTTTTGAGCTGACCACTCTGCCTTCAATTGAACTGGGCAATCAGATTCTTCTGGAAGTCACTGTTCTGATTAGACCTTTCCCTATGGATCACACTGGTCAATCCAAGGCTTATCCTGAGTTAAGATTAGTTCTTCGTTATTTTGTTCTTGCTGAGAAGGCTGGCTTTTTCAGATGGCACGCTAATGAAATGGAGACAAGTGTCTTACTGAGAGAACTTACTTGTCTGTGTTCACATGCTTACTTAGGCTTTGTTTGGAGTAAACTTGTGCCTGCATGAATCGGAATCCTATTCACAATTTTTTTATTTACCCTTACATGTGAACAATAATACTGTTTAGGGTAAGGTATTGCATATGATTGTTCCAAAAAGCCACAAGAGGATTTTCAGTTACTAGCAACAGCTAGAATAAGTTTCTAATGCAAGCAAATTCCATAATATATCTTACTTGGTAAAAAGAAAAAAGAAATAATGGTCATTACTGAGTTTTTTTTTAATCATTTTATTAGGGGCTCATACAACTCTTATCACAATCCATACATACATCAATTGTGTAAAGCACATTTGTACATTCATTGCCCTCATCATTCTCAAAACATATGCTCTCCACTTATCAGCTCATTTTTCCCTTCCCTCCCCATCCCCCCCTCCCTCAGGAACCCTTGATAATTTATAAATTATAGTTTTGTCATGTCTTGCCCTGTCCGACGTCTCCCTTCCACCCACTTTTCTGTTGTCCGTCCCCCAGGGAGGAGGTCACATGTAGATCCTTGTGATCGGTTCCCCCTTTCCAACCCACCCTCCTTCTAACCTCCCAGTATCGCCACTCACACCACCTTGGATCATCTGCCCTAGATTCCCTGTGTTTCCGTTTCCTATCTGTACCAGTTGTCCTCTGGTCTAGCCAGACTTGCAAGGTAGAATGGGGATCATGATAGTGGGGGAGGAGAAAGCATTTAGGAACTAGAGGAAAGTTGTATGTTTCATTGTCATTACATCACACCCTGATTGGCTCTTCTCCTCCCCGAGTTTTTACTGGATTGAACCACAACACCATCAGTCATGGTTTCTTCTGTGGCATTCCCTGCCATTTCATGGCTTCAGGATGAAAACCCTTCGCCAGAACTCACAGATCACAGTGAGAGACATTACACAGATCACACTTTCAGTAAGATGTTCCTCTCCTATTACTAAATTAGAAAGTGTCAGCGGTTTCTTTTCTTTTATGCAGACACTCTCGCTACTAAATTTACTCGTGGTTCACTCTGTGCCTCTGACATTTTTTCAGTCAGCCGGCATTGGAAAAGAAAGTAGGGATTCATGTACGAGTAGGTTCACCTTTCCCTAGCAATCTTCGGTATTCTGAGTTCCTTGTGCCAATTGCTCAATACACAGCTATAGGGCTCTATTCAGTTCCAGGCCCTGCTGTTCAGTGACAAAGAAGACATGTGGTTGCCCTCTCATGTGGCTAAGAGTCTCAATGGAGACAGGTTATCCTCATTTATTATAAAAATGATAATACTTTTAGATGGTGCTAAGTACCACAAAGCACCACAAAAGAAAGGCAAAGAGTTCAGTCATAGAGAATGACGGTGTGTGTGGGGGAAGAGTGAGGGCAGGACTTACAATACACTACGTAAGGTAGGGGAGGGTAATAGAAGGGGACTTTAAAAAGTTCACAGGAAAATTCCATAATCTTTTTATTCCATTTTTTCTATGAACTTTTAGAAGTCCCATTGTAGTCATGATGAAACTTGGCAAATACGAGAACATCATCAAAGAAAATCTAGAAAAACCAGTCCAGCTAGAAAAACCAGTCCAAAAGCCCAGCGGCAGACGAACCTTACCGTGTTCAGAAATGGCAAAGAGGTCAGGGATAGCTCGTAGTCAGGATAAAAGACAGGGTGGTTTGGGATGAGGTTGGCAGGCTTGGGTAAGGAGTCAAGTATAGTTTTTATTTTAGGTACAAGTAGAAGCCCTCGAAGGATTTTAAGTGCAAACTGAATCACAGGTGTAGCTGCTATCACAGGTTAGAGGGAAGGAGCGTTATCAATGAGTTTGCACTTACAAGGTCCAGGCAAAGGGGTAAGGGTTAAATTTTGTGTCAACCAGTCAGATGGGGAGATCTAAGTAAGGTCAATATATAGAACTGCTGGTTTTACTAATGGGGTTGCATGTGGAAGAACAGGAGTGAGCAGAACCCCTGGGTACTATAGTACTTGAGTGAACAGTGAGGCCATTTATTGAGCTGGGGAAGGGAGAGTTAAGAATAGGCTTGATAGGTTAAAGAAAATAAAACTAGAGACAGGCAAATTGACCAGAGCAACTTTTAAATAAATCTTTGATAATATTTCCCTCTTTCTGTAAGAATTTTTAAAATACAATATTAAGGAAAACATTAAGCATGACATTAAGGCTGGCTAGTTTTACATATATTTTGGCTAGCCATGGATTATCTGACAGTCAAAGTAGCTTGCAAAGCTTCTAAAAACAGTTCTTTCTTCTGAAAAATTAAGTAGAATTTCAAAATGTGAAATATTCTGACCGAATCAGGGTAGGCAGCCTATGGCCATCCTGTTCCAAAACGGCCCATTGGGACACTTTACTGGAGTTTCTGAGGATTCCTGGTGGACAGTCTGGAACAGACCCAGATTGGGCCTAATGAGTCAAAAGGAAGGTGAAAATAGAACATGACCGTGGGCAAAGAATTGAATGGTGTTGACTTAGGTACAGATTAGAAACTGACTGCTCCTTTACTATGACTACCCTAGAATGTTCCTTTCCTTCAAATAACACAACTTGAACTTTAAGGTAGACCAGCACTAAAACTCAACTGGAGGAATGTAGCGGTAGCTAATAGAAGCATGATAAGGGGAAAATGTTTTATTTTTTAAAACGTGTAATAGTAATATATGAGTAAAGGCATTAGTAAGTGTTACAAAAGTTAGCTTATAACCTTTGAGAAAGAAAAGGAAGTATTCAGAGTTAAAGTACAGTAATATGAACAATGTAGTAAATAAGTCCTCAGAGCAAAGATTATTAAAAATAATGGTGCCAAAAGACCAATCCAGCCAGAACTACTACTCTGTTTAACAGGAACAAAAGATTTTAAGTTTATTTTCAAGGGAGTTTCCTTTAACAGGCAAATCAATAGCATATTGAAGAATTCAATACTTTTCATGTTTATAACCGCTCATGATTCACCATTAGATTGTAATACGTGGCTTTAAGGGTCTCAACTTAGTAGAATTACATGAGTGAATTAAGAAGCCCTGGTGTTGCTGTCAAGTAAACACAAGGTGGGTGGTTCAAGTCCACCAGCCACTCCTCAGAAGAAAGAAGAGGCTATCCTGTTCCTGTAACGATTTACAGCCTCGGAAGCCCTCATATGGCAGAATCGACCCAATGGTTGGTGGCAGTGTAGGCTAGGTGTTAGTCTGTTAACAGCAAGATTAAAACTCACTAGCCATTCTTGGGGAAGAGAGATGAAGCTGTCTGCTCCCATAACGATTTGTAGTCTTGCTTAAGGCAGAATTGACATGATGGTAGAGAGTTTGCTTTTTTGGGTATTTTATACTCATGAATTACTGTGGATTGAAGCAAGATATTTGCCTACAAACTAATGTTTACAGGTTTAAATTTTACAATGAAATTGGGAGTATATGTGTCTTGTCAAAGTCACATAAAATGTTTACATGACTTTTTGCTATACAATTACTATATATTTAGTATTAAACATGCTAAACACAATTAGGAAAACCACTCTGCCTAGTATTCCAATGCTCTTCCTTTTTTTCAAGGCCATCAGAAACTAATGCCATCAGACTCTTACCTGTCTCACAGTAGGGTTCACCATCCTCCAAGTGAAAAACATTGTTCCGAATGGGCTTTCCACAGGCCACACACACAAAGCAGGAAACATGCCAGGTCTGTTTCAGAGCATTGATGACTTCCTGGCACAGAAAGGTAATCAGGTGTCAAAACAGCATGAATAGATACATGCCTATTTTCATAGCTGTATTTATTATAGGTCTATAAAACTCCCCAAGTAGACATACATGCTTTTTCTTTGCCTTCAGTGTTTTTTCTCTAAGTAAAAGGGGATACTTATGGACAGTCTCCCTAATCCCCTCAGTCAAGTCACTATGTCTGGTTTTCACAAACACAAATCAATAATCCTATTTACAGGATGATACTATGTTACTTAATCATTACCCATATGGTGAATAAAGCAAGCACCTCATACAACTATGTTTTCTTCCACAGGATGCTGGGAAACATTAAATAGGCTTCACAGTATTATCATGGAAATGCCATGTGAGGGGGTGCATTTTAAAACTAAAACAAACTTATAATTAGGTGGATTATGGAAATAATAATGCACAATCAGTGTAAACAACCAGTTTTACAAATGTTAAGGTTCTGAAAATCAGTTGTGATGTGAGGACTGTACTGCACTCAAATGAGTTCCTAAAATTTGGACCATTAAACATATTCTAGTCAACACTGGTCCTATGATTAAATACTAGAGGGCTCCAAAGAGTTCATGGAAAAATGGACTTGAATGATTATGAATTTTTTTTACAAACTCTTTGAAGCCCTTCATACATAAGAAATAAGAGACTTGGGTCATAGACTAATTAGTAAGCACTTAATGTCCTAGATTCTGTAAAACATGACCATCATGCGGTTAGTACATTGTGTGAACACTGGATTATAGTCCAGTCCTGAAGCTGAACACATGTCAAACACACTTTGTTTCTTAGCAATGATTGTCAACACACAGAGAGGGACCTGCTTTTGTGTTTGGTACACCATCCACATCATTAGAAATTTCTCTGATATAAGTCCCTTTTGCATTTCAGTTTGCGCATAGCTTTCAGTGGAGCTGATCCTTCGTTTTTCTTTGTATTTAAGGATCGCCCTTATTGTTGAGTGTGAAATGCTTAAATTGTGGGCAATAACATTCACTGATTTTAGACCTTTGTATTGCTTAATAGCCTTTTATTTCACCTCCACAGTATTTCTCCTTTACCTCTTGCTGCTATCACCAGTATTGGTTTTGCTGCATTTTGGATCCATGATGTACTTCATGGTAATAATTTGGAAAGAAAATTAAACAGAGAGAAATGTTACACCTTTCAACAGATGCTTGTTACATGAGACTGAATGCTGCTGCCCGCATGCTGAAACATACTGTTATATGGTACAACTTTTTAGGTAGTAAGGATAGTGAAGTACATACATAATCCAGGAACAGGTATTTATTATGACTATCAATCAAGATATTATATGAATTACAGGTTATATATGTACTGCAAACTATTATACACACGGTAGCACAATCACTGTATATGAAAGACACAAGATACATACCATTGCATGCAGGAAGCTGAGTTATTCACTATGTCCTTTTCTCTGACTGGAATTTATGACCCTGAGATAGTTAAGGTTTATTGTGCCAACCTGGCCAATAAACACATGTGGGATTAATAGAAGGGCAGAGAGATAAATGGCTCGGTGAGTCTTGCCTTTTTAGTTCCTGGGTCTCTTGCTCTTTGATGGTTTGACCAGGGTGCAGCTGCCTTAGTCAGTTCCCTGCTTCAGCTGGCAAGGCTCACTTGCTTCGAGATATACCTGACAAGAAGACACATGGACCTACCCTGATGCAGCCCTGGGTTCTGGAGCAGCCGTGTGGAGACCCCTGCTAGTGCTGATGCTTACACGCTCACCGATTTGGCTTCCTCCTGCAGTTGGCATCATTGCGTGTTTTGTGAGATGGAGGAGGGCTTTGTAGACTGGTGTCAGACATATGGGCTACTGTTGGACTTATGGGTTGGGATGCTTTCTGAGTGTACACTTATCCTAGATATTAAACTCTCTCTCTTATACATATATGAGTTTCTGTGGATTTGTTTCCCTAGTTTACCCAGACTAACACAGACTCCTACAAATAACCTCATGGCATCAAGGGCATATACTTGTTATAACAACTGCACAAATAGATGTTACGAAGTACATTTCTGTATTGAAGTCTTGGGCCTGCCCTGTGTCTGTGACCCCATTTTGAAGTAAGATTTTCTTTTGTTCTGTTAACTAGGTCATATTAGAGTAGGTGGATACTAAGTCTAATCACTTCTTAGTTATGAAAGGAGCAGAGTAAATGCAGAGATACACAGGAAGGAAGATGACTTATGAAAAAACATGGCAGATGAATCTAGACGCCCAGAAACCCTCCTAGCTGCT